TGGGGTAAAAATGGGGGTTCATAACCCACTTGAATCTAATGTATGAAATATGATAAGTCAAGAGCTTTGTAATGTTGTGAACAACCAATAAAAAAAAGAAAAAAAAGAGAGTAATTCCTTTTTCCCTTTTGCTGTCCCTTCTAATAAATTCATGCTGCTATTCTAAACAATTTGTAGGAAATCCTTCCAGCATGATTGTGAAGAACAGATGACAGAGGATATCCATCAGTGCTTGCTTTGGCGTTTACAGACAACCTGGCTCTGGAAGAATATCAGCGCTACTTTCCTCAGAGCTGACAACTAAAAGTGGCCTCTCTCTCTCTCTCTCTATATATATATATATATACACATATACATAGAAAGAGGCAACCTTCACTACGGAAATATATATATGGAAACGTACATGGTTCTCAAAAGCTGATAGCATCAGTAAATCATTAAGATCTCTGTATCTATAGATTTATCAATTACAATCAGAATCTAGACTCCAGATAAGCTTCTTCAATTTTTCAAACAGGACAAATTAAAAAAGGAAACTTCTCCCTCTTGGGCCTTCCAGCTTAAGCTAGCTCCAGGTTTTAAAGAGTTCAGTAGAGCGAGAGCAATAGCACTTGCCTAGTACCCATGAGAGGGAGTTTGATCTCTGGTACCAAAACATAAGGAGCTCAGTAAACCAGAGGAGCTATAATGATTCTCCCTCTATCTTAGAGAGAGTTCACAGATTAAGCTCAGGGGGTTTACTTTTAACTAGTACAGTTAGCAACACTCTTGCTCTGATCTGTGCCACAACTTCTAAACAACTACAGCTTTTTGATGTGCCCTACTCCTTGGTTAGAACCACTTGAGAATCGTGCAGGATAGGTGCACAACAATTGCTGCTCTTTTCTACTCTAAAGAAGATCTTCACAGTGACAAAGAGTGAGGGCTCAAAAGATGACGACTGCAATATTAATCAGTGAACTGAATATTGTCAGGCATTATTTGTGCAGGCTACACTTACCAATGTAACCTGAAACTTCTTTGCCCTTATATGAGAAACAAAGTGTTAGATCCATGCACACAGAGGGCAATCCATTTTCAACACAGTCAAATCTCGTTCTGTTTACTGACTCAGGGTGGCTTAAAGATGCTTCGACAATCACAACAGGTCTTGTCCTAAGGAGGAAATAAAATAAGCAATTTTAATTGCAGAATTATTTTTCCTTAGGAAGATAATTGCACTTATTGTCAGTTTTCATTGACTAAGAAATATCATTAATCTGCTCTGTTACCAGTATGTGTGTATGCACTTAACTCAATGTCTGGGCACAGATCAAGAGAAATTTTCATTTAAATGTCTAAAAACACTGACTTCAATGATTTGTTTAATTATATCTATGCAAGGTGGGAAACATACACTGAAGTTCAATAATTAAATTTCAGGATACCAAAAAGAGCATTGTGAGGCCACTATCACTGCTGTTTTTAAAAACTGTCTCCCATCATTTACAATTAAGCCCAATTGTCATTAAGCAATGAAATGTATCCACCTTACCTTAGCAACACAGCAGAATCAGACCGAAAAGCACCAACTGCCACATCTGGAGGATAACAAACAGCCACCCAGATTAATGATCGTCATTACTCAAAGAGAATGACTTTTCAGCCATAAATACTTAACTGCACATCACCTTTGGACTTTATCAAAACACTATTTACAGAACATTAATTGGAAAAGACATGCTAGCACCTTGAGATTCATTGTACATTTGTCTGAATCTATTCACTTAAAACAGCTTTCATTCCTTGCTAATATAACTTTATAATGTAAACTTACAAAGATAGTCATGCTAAAAATGTGATTTTTTTAGGCTACAAATATTCATCCAGAAATTTCTTTTCATTATTGTATGTTTGATTAATTGTCACGGGTACTTAATTTTTTCAAGAACAGGCATGTAATATTAAGGAACTAACAGTATAAAGCTGAGAAATTACTTGATTATTTCTGACCCAACCTTGAATTTAAGAAAGTTTTAAAAACATAAGAAAAAATGATCAGTAAATTGACATCTCCCACAATAGTTCTCCATAACAAAGCAGTATCCACAATGAAGTTTACTCCAGTTTATAAAATATGATGATTTTATACTCACCCATGTATCCGTTATTATCTGCATCAATTTGTCCTGATATAGACTGTCCAAACATACTTAATGATTTACTGATCTGAAGTCCTTCAATTCTCTGAAAAATAGGCAAGTTGCGTAGGAGATAGTTTTTGAATACCTACTATTCCAGAGAAGCAATGGTTTAGCTAAATCATAAGTCTTGCCAGATGATTCCTGGCACATTGACTAACAAATGCATTCTAGTTAAATGCTTGCAAAAGAGGCAAAATATTTCTACCTTGAAATATATTATGACTTTAAAATTAAAGTTCTTGGTGAACAAAAGGAAAATTATATGGCACAGATTTTTCCAAAACCATTTTTACTCCTTTTCCTCAATTTTTTTTTTCAGGTTCTGTATTTACTTCTTTAACCAACACAAATATCTAAACAATGTATTTGGAAAATAAAATATCTATAATCACATAGTGGAGCCTACTACTCAGCCATAAGATGAAAGGCTACTTATGAAGCCAGATTGCTCCCTAGCATTTGAAAAGAACAGACCAAGTGAGTTATCTGCCTCCTATTCCACATCTAATTCACATTCAGATAGTATTTGTAAATATCAGGTTGTTCTTCCTACTAAGAAAAATCAGGATCTGCTCCTAGGCAAGAACATGTCATTCAGGTTAAAAATACAGATGTACATGCCCATTTTTGCCAAAGCAAACATAACAGTACTAGCTAATGTTTCCATAAAAATGTCTTTGGAGAAACTTTGGTTCTTTGCCTGTGATTGTAGTCTTTTCTATGCACTGAAGTGCCCTGATTTTTCAAGATATAAAAGAAAGATCAGAGTTCAACCACGAACATTCATTAAAATGCTATCATCTTACTACTCTACACTGAAAGAAACACAGTATCATATGCACGTTTGATCCCCATGCACAATTTTCACGAAATATGAGGCGTTAGTCACAAGGAAAAGACAGTTAATCAAACCCAAATGGGCATATTTCAGAATTGTGTGGTATTTCCTGAAGAACACAAACTTGATGAAATGCAGAAATAAATCTTTAATAGACTAAAGACAAGCTAGGATGGAAGTGAACTAGAACTCTTATTTATGGGAAAAATGGCTTTAAAGGGTTATTAATCCCTTGCGATAAGACCTTTTATCATTACTGTAAGAAAATGGTGAAATAAAATGAAATAAAATGTATTTGAAAGAAAGTAAAAAAAAAATAAGTCTATGAAAACACTGGAAATTTTCAGGGCACCTTTGTCACGATGCTTCTTTTGAACACAGAATAGTATCTTACCTGTGAGAAGCTTGCTGAGATCCCATCTACTCGGCCATTGTAAATGTAAATAGCACCTCGCAAGTCATCTTCTTGGGGAGCCCCAATAGCAACATCTATTCAAGGATGGAAGCAGTGGGAAAATAAATTCTTGAAAGAAAGAATTATCTTTGAAAACTAACCTTCATGATCCCTAATTCATGACATAAGAAAGCTCTCTCTTAGAACTAACATTCTTCTAAAAAAAAAGAACTATTATCATCATAATGTACAAGGTTACACAGAATAGTCTTTACATGGAAGAAAGCAGAGGAGACAGGTCTGAGAGACACTCTTCACAAAGAAGCTAAGGATGTCTGCCCCATAGTCAGACCCCAGAGTCCAACCCTAGCTACACTTCTGTACTAAGCTCTGCTCATTTCTCAGCTTCCATGTCTTGGCTCCCCACCTAAAGAATGGGATCAACATGAAAGTAACACTATACAAGTATGTAACTTGTGTCAAATGCTTAGACTAGCATCTACGGAATAAGTTGTTATAACCTATAAATATTGCAATCACTAGAATCTTGATTTCAAGCTTCTATGTTTTATTTGTAACATTACTTTTAAATTAATTAGAATTCCAATGAAAGTGATTAAAGTATATATTCAGGATTTCAGTAAATGGATTTGTGCTATATAATAATGACAGCAACTCCTTTATGGGTTTGAGAGTCACATCAGATTATGACACCAAGAACAAAAATTCGGTCAACTGATAAAAGACCCAAGAATAACAAACAATTGACACAATTGTTTACATGCTATAAATATATAGCAGAAAGGGGGAAAATGCTAATCTACAGTTTCAAGAGCATTTCATTACTTTCTCAAGTATGATGTCTGCTTGAATTTATTCAAATACTTACTTATATGCAGTTTTTAACTGCTTTCATCAACACCTAAAGTAGAGAAAGTTTGTTCTTGTGATATTTCTTACTGTCCATCAAATCAAAAACATTTCTAACACATAGAATGGTAATTTTGTACAATTTCAATGGGAATAGAAACATATTTGATATGTAACTATGTTAAATACTGTACATTTTTTAAATGCAAAATCTTTTCTATTTTAATCTAAAAAGAAATGGTAGACACTGATCCTTATTTTTTTTAGACATGCTAAAACCATTCTCTTTTGATGAGTGTGAACTATTTTGATACACTATTTTGATATAAACTTTGATATACAAATATACCAATTAACTTATTCATTAATTGGACAACTATTGAGCACCTACTGTATTCCAGTACAGGGCAAAACTGCAAAAAAAAAAAAAAGGAACTCAGTCTACTGGTGAGAACAGAAGTAAAAATATAGCAATAACACAGCATACATGAAGAAAGTGGTGGACATTAGGAAAGGCTCCTCATAGAAGATGATGCCAGAGATGAGATTTAAGTATTGATAGGTCACAGCTAGGCTAAGAAAGGGGAAATGCAGTTTAGACAGAAGGAAAAGCCTCTGCACACAAGGTGGGAGGGCATTCATCATGGTACACAAGATGAATGGCGATTGGTTTGCAAGAGCTGGAGTCACATTAGCATAGACTAAATGCACAGAGGAACACAGTGGGTGGAAAAGGAAGAGAAAGAGGAGGAAAAAAGGAAGGAGGTGAAGGGAAGGGCTGGGGAGAAGTTCCTCTGGCCACAGCAGTTTCATTAGTCAGGGTTGGGTTTATATTCCAGCATGTGGCCTAAGACCATAAATAAAATTCTATATCTTGATTTATGATAACCACACAAGGAAAAATAACAAGCCTGCTTTATGAAGTGGTGATACCAAAAGCCTTTCAGAATCAGTTATTAGCACTAGTGATCTAAATTAAGATTACAGACAAACCTTTTCAGCTGAGGTATACAAAAGGCCCAGATCAATTTTCTTTCTGTGCAGAGGACACTTGGGGATATGAAATCTCTGGCTAATACAGATTCAAATTCTAATTTCCTAGGATTATACATAGATATGATATAAAATACACTAAAGTTTTAGCTTTCATTAAGGGAATGATAAAACATTTTAATAAATAACAAAATGTTTTTCTATGCCTTTGCAACTCTATTTAGGACACAGTATACAGAACATTGAGATGTTTGATAACTGGTTTTGCTTTGCATCTGAACAGTTATTTTGTTGGTATAAACCATAGCAATTAATAGTATGAACATAATCATCTCTATTTACATAGTGTCTGCAATGCAGACATGGTGCTGGGGATTTATACATACTTACTAATTTAACTCACAGAATAACCATATCAGATAAGTACTTTTTAATCCACACTTTATAGATAAAGACACTGAGGCACCAAGTGTAACTTGCTCAAGTTCAGAGCCAGGAGGTGGTGCAGTAGGGATCAAAATTTTCAGTCAGGCTCCAGAGTCCTGCTCTCCATCACCACAATACGGTCATATACAACAGAAGTGAGCCCCGGGGTTTCCCCTCTTAGCACCTGTTTCTGCTCGGTGTCAAAGCAGTGCTTAATGAAAGGTGTGATAATATGCCAATATTGATTTCAGGGGCACATAAAATAATAACACAATATCTTATAATTAGAGAATATTAATAAGGTTCTTCTCTAAAAAATACTCAAACATAATAGTCTCAAAGCCAGATGAGTATCAAGGTGAAGGGAAAAAAAATTAAACCAATAATAGTTTTGCCAAATCTATCTTATATGATCCAAAATGTTACCTATTTGCCTATTAGTCGTGTCAGCCTGTCCATCTATGTACCTACCTATTCCACAACTTTTTATTTTTGATTCAAGTTTTACACTATACTTTCCAAATTAACCAGTCATCTCCTTAGAAAATGGCTTGCTTTGCTTTTCTAAGGAAATAGGATCATCAATATTTTTCCTTTTAAAGAACGATACAAAAATGATGTGACAAATGTCAAAATAACAGCTTTGCTATGCAAAGCATCACAAAGTTTTGCATAAAGGGCATTGAGTATGATTTAGTCCTAGTAATAGAAAAGAAAGAAAAAAGAACAGGTTGGGTATTCATTCCCAGCCTACACAGTCTCACAATCCCAGTCATGAACACAAAGGATCTGCATCTACCAGAGAAAAGTAAGATAGATGATGGGGGAAAGGATAGGGAAACATAAAAATAGTCTAGAGCTGGGGACTTAGCTCAGAGCAGAGTGCTTGCCTAGCATGCTTGCGGCCCCAGGTTCAATCCCTGGGACCCATAAAGTTTTGTTTTTTTTTTAAAGAAAGATAACATGTAGATTCCCTGCTGTGTCTCTCAAGCAGATGTGGTAGAATGGAGTTAAGACCTTAAGGAAGAGCTTGAACACACTGAGTCTACTTCCAAATCACCATGGTCTTGCTAATATTTAAAATGTAGAAATCTCTTAATTATGGGCAAAATAGAAAATAAAATTACAACTGGACTAAGTAGAAAAAGATATGAGGTGTTATCAACATTCACTAAAGTGTAAGGATAAATACATTGTGGGTTATAAATTAGATTATAAATAGCACAAAAAAGTATAGAAATATTACACCTACTGTAATTATAGTCTTCTAGAAATAGAAGCAACCTTGAGGAGTAGAGGGCTGAGCCAGGCATGGTGGCACACACCTGTAATCCCAGTGGCACGGGAAGCTGAGACAGGAGAATTCGTGAGTCCAAAGCCAGCCTCAGTAACTGGCAAGGCACTAAGCAACTCAATGAGACCCTGTCTCTAAATAAAATACAAAATAGGGCTGGGGATGAGGCTCAGTTATCGAGTGGCCCTGAGTTCAATTGCTGGTACCAAAAAAAATTTTTAAAAAAGAGTAAAGAGGACTCTAGGAAACAAGTGCCATCTGAAACCTTGGTTCTCACACACTGATTGAAAACCTGCACTATCCTGGGAAGGTCCCCCCAAAAGTCCTCTTCCTAAGTCTCACCAATAGAACACTTTATCCTTCACACCCCTTGGAAATTGGGACTTTCCCAGGTACTAGGGTGATTTTGGAAAGGAAACTTGCTTACTGTCCATAACAGCTTTACAACTCTGATAAGAATATAGGTTTGAAATTTTAATGCACATAATTTCTTCTTCACATGCACATGTATTTTAGGATATTCCAAATGGGGAGTGGCCTTCCTTGAATGTACCAATTAAAACAAGCTGTAGAGGAATCATAACTTAGTATTTACTAAAAGGTAGTTTTTGTTTTTAAAAGAACCATTATCTCATGATACATATAAAATAGTAAGGTGCATGGCATCATCTATATATTTTTATTAAGAAAGATCCTTAATCCACCACAAATGAGATTTACTTTTATGTCTTATTTTCATTTGATTATATAACTACAAGAAAGGTGCCAGTACTTCCTTCATTTTCATTTATTATGGTGCCTACTCAATACTGTACTCAATAACTGATTTTTTGCAGAATTATGCATTTAAACATTTAAAGTAGCATTTATGTATAAGAGGAAATTGAGGTAAGTACACAAAACTCCCTCACTTATTTTTAGTAACCAAGTTTTAGCCTCATATAACCAAATAATGTTAATGACTACATCACAAAGACTTTATCTTGAGCCCTGAAAAGACCTAGTGGCTTGGAGACTGTGCATTCTCCTTTCAAACTTATTCATCATTGTATGCACAATTTTTACAGACTTGGTCACCACTCAGTACTAGAGTGAAAAGAGCAAAGCAAAGCAAAGGGAATACTGGTAGAGGCAGGTACCTGTATTAAGTCATCACAGACTTAATGCCATTTTTATTCTTTTTTTTTTTTTTTTTTTGGCGAAAGAGTGGGGTATGACCATTATGTGATTTAAAAAAAAAAAAAACCTGAGCAATTATTTTTAATAAAAATAATTTATTACTAAACTGTGCTCAGTGCAAGATTAGGATGCACAGAATACTTGTGAATATATGTTAACGTGCTATGATGATTATGCAGTGAAATATGATATTTCAATAACAGGGCTGACATACAGGGTAACATGACAGTTAAGACAGTATAATTAATTATGGAGATACCTCAGTAGCAGTTGGTAAACAGCCATCGTCCCCAAGCCTCCCAATTGACCCTCACCAGTGCTCAGGACATTTTCCTGGAATTCCCCAAATCCTACCACAAGGCAGCAGTGGAGCAGGAAATTCCCAGCATAGCAGGGCCTTGGGAGATCTGCTCCAGCCCTGCAGCCAGGCTCTGCTGCGTTTGGTTGGTGTCTTTACTGCACCAAGTGTTAAATACCATGGTCCAATGATTTATCAAGCAATTTTCCCCTCCACATTTTATTTCTGAAATCAGGAGATTTTTCTTAAAATCGAAAAGTAGTAGGTGTCTCAGTTTATTAGGCAGCTTTTTTCAGGGGCAGCTAAAATAATAATGCAACTTATAATCAAAGGTGCCTTAGAATCAGTGAAGTAAAATATTTTAAATATCATCATTAATAATGGTAAAGATCAATAATTGACCCAGTGGTTCTGGAGGCTGAGGCAGGAGGATCACAAGTTCAAAGCCAGCCTCAGCAAAAGCAAGGTGCTAAGCAACTCAGTGAGACCCTATTTCTAAATAAAATACAAAATAGGGCTGGAGATGTGGCTCAGTGGTTGAGTACCCTAAAAACAAACCAAAACAAAAGATCAATAACTGACAATTAGGAAGTCATATGTAACACTAAGAAGGAAAAGAACAAAAACTTAGCATACCATTCTGGCTCCATTCTCAGGAGAAAGGCAAACACTATAATGCTCTAATCATCTTCCAGCCCATGAACTATTTCAAAGTGGAAACCAAATACCAAATTAGATACTTTTAATTACCTTCAAAGCCATCATTATCAATGTCGCCAAGATTAACTATGGATTCTCCAAATCTTGCAGCATATTTGTCACTTCCAATGAGCACTGTTTCCATTTCATTCATTATTGCTCCCTAGATAGGAAGGGAGAGAAAAGGTGTCATCATAACACTCCCTGACAACTTTACACATGATTTACTGCTATAATTGGATATGGATTTTTTTCTAATGTGTCAAACAAGTTGGACAAACTACAGACTGAGCTTTAGTACACACATCTCAGTTCAATTCAATAAATATTTATTGAATATGTCAACACATATAATAGTATGATTAGAGCTCAGAGGACATTAAAAAATTGTCAAACTCATGATCCCTCGCTTTAAAAATTCAATAAATCATTTGGATAATTCAATTTAACAAATATTTATTGAGCTCTTACTAAAGACAATGCACAGTACAGAGTGAACAGGTGAAAGAGGACAAGGCAGAGTGTATTTCAAAGGCTCTCTCTTTCCTTAAGAAACCCACAATTACAGAGAGGGCTTAGTGCAGCATGCAAACAATTCGGAAATACAAACTGCTTTGCAATAGCAAGAAGTCAAGAAAAAACACTTAACTGAAGCAAGCACAGAATGTCAATAACGAGCAGCAAGAAAAGAAGATCTATAAGAGATTTCCTAAAGACAATGGCAAGCTAAGTAGCTACCCAAAGAAAGGTATAAACTTGATGTATAGAAAAAAATATGAGTAAAACCCAAATTCCAAAGGATTTGGCTATAATAACTGGTTAATGAATAGTATAATGAATGAGACCAAAATAGCAACATATTTCAACCTTACAGTATAGAAATTTGATTGTGTTGGAAAATTCACTCTCACAGTAGCAAATGATAGGAAGCCACTGAGAGGTTTCTGAGTTTAGTGACATGATTCAAGTTGGCCTTTGGAACCTGATCCCAGCAGCAATAGAGAATGGATTGGTCAACTGATACCTCAGAAGTTAGAAAATGGGTTATTATAGTAAGACATGTAAAAATGAGCTGTTGTAAGAACAGCTACCAGTTCTCTTGCAAACTCTGATCATCCTAGTCCCCTGTGTTCAAGAAAAAAAAAAAGTACTACTCATCATAAATTCTTTCCTCTTCTCAAGCAAATCTATTATTAGTCATTCCCTAAACACATATAATCTTCCTCTTGTAATGTGTCCTTCACCTTTCAGTTTCTAAGTGGAAAATTCCTTTTCTTGTCTCACTCAAATATTACTTCCTCTGTGAAGCATTATGGATCCAAAAGGGAATCGCTTGTTCCACCTTGTTTGTACTTACAACATGCCATCTGCCACGTTGCATTCAACTGAGTTTATCCAATGTTTGATGTCCTCACCAGATCCTGAGGTCCTGGCATCAGTACTAAGATTATTCTCAGCTCTTTTTATGGTCTTTGTTATATTCCAGATATTCACAAATGTCATTTATTTTATTCTAAACAAACCAAGAGGATGTAAAGATCTCTATAGATGCAATCACTGACATCAAAGTAGTGAGGGATTAAATCATAGGAGGGGTAAAACTGTTTGCTCCTGGGAAATGCTAACTTGTATAGAAGGGAGAGCAGGGTCCAGGGAGGACAGACAAGATACATGTATAAGACAGTGCAGTTCTGAAGTAACTATCACCCTTAAGTATTCTCCAGTCACAAAGAGCAGTGACCAAGGGTTCTCTGGGGACACCCAAGAGCTATTTTAGTAGAAGTAGGTAGAAGACAGAGTCATTCGAGTGCCATTCTTTCTCCAGTTCATTTCAAAAATAATCTTGGAGTACCTACTTGACTAGGAGTTTTCCAGGACCCGGGGAAAGAGTCACATAAATAAGACAGACGATTCCTCTCTACAGAGTGTCTGTACTCCAGGAGAATAGACAATAGCAAACCAGATAAATAAATATGTTATGCCACTTAGTGGTTAGTGCCACTTCAGACAAAGACATAGGAGGGTAGACGGTAACAAAGGTAGGCTCATCTATATAAGAGGATTTAGAAGCCAAATCCAATTACTAATTGTTCAAAAGTGGGACCTCCAGGTAAGAGGGTGGCCTAGTGGGCACAGGTCCTCCCTTTAAGGAAAGGATTTTTGCTTCAAATCTCAACAGGAAAAGAGTTCCTATGTTACTTTATTTTGGGAGTATTGAGCTACTGTTTAAGTTTTCCTCAAATAGTCATAAAGAGAGACATTTGCAGCATGAACATGTAGTGGGCATAAGGAAGACCATTTATTGATAGGTGAAATGTCTATGGAAGAAAAATTGAAGTCACTATTAATGCATTCTAATGATCATTGTATACATGGCATGCCTTTGCTATTAAATTTAGATTTAAACACAGCCTATGAAATCCCAGTGTGAAACTTCCCTACTCTTTACCTTGAGCTCTGAGATTCTCCCCGCTTTACAAGGCTTGAGTGTCTTCTCTCAAATTACACAGATCTTTGTCTGACACTTAGACTAGGAACTTATTAAGTGCTATGAAGCCATTGATTAAACAAGGGCACAAGTACCTTCTTGAAACAGATTTTACTTTTTTGAATCCTACTGAAAGACAATGTGCCCTAAGAAATGAACCAATTTTCTCACAAGTCTGAGCTTGTTTTCAAATCAAAGGAACAGGCCAAGAAGATCCCATTAAGGCCCTATCAATTCTTTGTTTTGATTTAATGTCAAGAAGCAAGGCTGGCAAGATAAGACCAGCAGAACTCTTCAAATTGAAACATCAAGTCATCAATTTCTATTCTAACACACTGCCTATGATTTAAAATTTAACTATAGTCACTAATCACCTATTTAAAAAATATATCCACTTTGGAATAAATCATGACAATTTCAAATTCTTATCAAGAACATTGTCTCCATAAATTGTGCATTAACATTGTATCAAAACATCTTATTTCTGATTGTTTTCAAATCATGAAAAACTTATAATTTTTATCTTCTACTCCCAGTAATATTTTATAATTTCTTGAATCAAAAAGACCTTAACTATAGAACCACTCAAAAGTCCACATTCTGAAGGCTATACAAAAATCATTCTTTTGAATTAGATTTGTGTCAAAATAAAACTAAATGAAATTTCAAGTATACAGAGTGTTCACTGTGAATGGAAAAATTCCATACAGATTCATGTCATATTTCTGGGGTATCCAAATGAATTGGCTGGCCACTCAGAACCATGTTCCATTTCTCTTTTAGACAGTATTAAATTTTTTTTTTATTTTTGTCAATACAATAAGCCTAAGAATCTACAGTCTCAAAATCTTGGAATAAGAAGAATTTCAGTTTCCGTGGTAATTCACATGTGGCTTCCAGTTGCAGGCAATCATACATACCAAACCAGAGTTGAGGTACACGAACACCCTTCCTTCCTCCCTGACGGCACTGTGCATGGGAGCTCCCACGAGGAGGTCTGAAAAGCCATCTGCATTGAGGTCCACAGCACAGACAGATGCTCCAAAGTATGAGCCAAGCTGTCCCAAAGTAAACCATACCCAGTCATTGAGAAAAAAGCAAGTACTTAAAAAAGCCTCTGGTATACCAAAGGTAGAGATATATTACCTTTTTACCTTTCATTTCATATAAGATGTTTAGCTCTTTTGCATCAATGCTGAATATATATGCCTGCAAAATTAGAGAAAGAATTAGGGAAGTTTATACTAATATCAAAGTTTCTCTTTAAAAAAAAGCAACTTATTTGAAGAGCAATTTTTCATAACATGTAGTTGTTCAAATATAAAAAAGTGTAGTTTCAAAATTTTTATAAAAACATTTTAGGAGCTGGGATTGTGGCTCAGCAGATGAGTGCTTGCCTAGCACATCTGAGGCCCTGGGTTTGATCCTCAGCACCCATAAAAATAAATAAGTAAATAAATAAAAACATTTTAGTGACAAGAAAATGTTTAGGAATCCATTTTCACATTAATGTGCCTCACTTAAAAAAAAAGTGACCCCAGAAATTATCTTATTGATCCCATAGAAGGAACAGAAAATATTGTTTGCCTCACTGTTCAAAGCTAAGACTCAGAAAAACTGAGTGAGCAATGTTCACATAGTTATGAAGCAAAAAGGAATCAAAATAACATTTTCTTCTTTCTTCTGGTCTTAGCAAAGGACATGTAGCTGACTCCCATTTCTTTTGGATAAATGTTAACCAGTAAATGTATTCCCTGGACAGCTTTCAAGAACTTTATATTACAAACTATTTACTTATGAGAAAAGCCTCATTTAACTTACATAATTTTCTTTAAAGATTTTCTGCTAGGTTTCTTCTAAAACCATATCTCTTTCCCAAATCCCATTAATATAATATACTGTTCATCATTTCTAATCTTTTATTCCTTAGAATTTTTGCAATTCCTCCTTTGATATCATATTGCCTCATGCAATTCAGTTGAAGCTTTGTGAAGAAATAAAGATAGAAATGGAATTCTTACTTTACCAATCTGCTCATGTTGAGGGGCTCCTCCAACTACCTCAGTAGTATGCTGACTCCGAAAGTGACCAGCTCCAACTGAGTATCCTTCAAGAAACAGGAGAAAGTACGAGGATCATCATTTATAGTGAGTTAAATAAACACTAATTCAGAGAATTAAATATGAGACCAAATTCAATACAACTATATTAAGCAGAACATTAAGAAGGCTTAGCATAATGCTGAATAAAACATTTATTATGTTTTAAGCAATTTTGATATATGTGTTATGAAACTAATAATATGGTTTATATTTTCAAGTTCTAGAAATTGAAAATATTATCTTCATATTTGGTTTGTTAGTCTCTGTTTAGCATCAGAGATTAACTTCTGGGATTATAGCTGAATTACTGGAGAGGATATAAAACATTTTAAGCTTTGAATAATAATCTTCCTAAATTTCAGCTTTTACCATGAAATCTTCCTACTGTGGTGATTTATAACACTAATGGTAAGATTTTTTATGTGATAAAAGGCTTAATATCCAATTGCATTTCTTATAATACTTCACAATATCCTTCTATCATAAGAAAATGACAAATTATTGGTGAATGGGTTTGAGGGTTAGTTACTACTTGTTTTATTGTAATTATTTCCAAGTATAAAATGCTCAAATTTGAAGCATTTACAGTTTAAGCAAATCTATTTTCTAAGAATCTACAGGAAAAGTATTTATTTTATTGTTATGGGAATTAACACCAGAACATTTTGCATTTCTGTAGAAACACAGATGATAAACTGTTCTACCACTGACTGATGAAATAATAACCAGCACGGGGAGAACAATGATAAAAATAGTTACATTCTGGAAAATATCTAAGAACTCACGTAAGGCAAAGGTTAAGGAGCAAATTTTAGATGATGCTTCATAATGTCACCCCTTATCCAAAATGCTGGTGACAGTACTGTTGGCTTTCATTTGGTCTTTCAAGAAACTGCTTTTACATTTTCATACATGTGTTTAAGTGAGTTTACTCAGATACAAGTCTTACAAAAAGTTTCTGAGATATAGTGTGCACTCAGCTGAGACCACCTTTCGAATCACTTTACCTCATAAAAGTACAAGTCTGTTTCCAAAAGTGAATTGCAAAGTCACTTAATGTAGAGCCAAGAATTGTAGTCTAAGAACTCTAGCATAACAACTGGAGTCACAAATGTCAATGTAAAACATCAAGTTAACTAAAGTTTCATAGAATGTGTCCTTCAGAGAGTTTCTGAACAATTTTCCTTATTTGAACTTACTACTAACTTTAGGCATAGAGTTTGTCAATTTTCACAGTACCTAAATAACTTCCAAATTTTACTTGATTGCCTTTGTCTAAAAATGCCTTGTATTTATTTGTAGTTATATTGTAGATAAAAAGAGAGCCAGTCCAATAAGATGATCCTGGGGCTCCCATCACAATTAAATCCTGTAAGAAAAAAAATTATCATCACTTGAAAGTTAAATGTTACCACCCAAAACCTCCTTCAGATATACAAGATTATAAAAGTGATTATAGATTATAAACTCATTTTTAGAATGAATTTCTGAAATATGAACATTTTACCAAAAACATCAAAGGAAAGCCAAAGAAGCTAACAGATTTCCACCTAAAAGAATTTCAAAGAAGAAAACTCTGCAACTCTCACTTCACATTTATCAGTGGGTTTTAAAAAGCAAAGATAGAATCACTGAACACTAGAGTAAGCTTTGGAGAGAAAGGTAATGTGGTTTCTGTTAAAGAAAATTGAACATAATTCATTAATGCTCATTATGAAGATAATCATGTGCTGCCAGAGAATAAAAGCAAGACTTAATATATTTCAATTTGCAAAAGACCACTGATGATTTCCTTCATGATGTTGACTTAGGAAATAAATTAGTCCACTGGAATTTGGGACTAAACAGGAATTGAGGCAAATTCCAACAGAAGGAAGGTGGACTATGTCTGGTATATTCTATTCTGAAACCTGCAGTGATCAAACTGATATAGCATATTTCTAGATTTTACAAATGATCATGAACTTTAAAAAGTCAACTTACATATAAACTAAAGACAGCAGTATAAGCATTTATTAATAGTTAACATGTCCAGAAATTGCTAGCCCCAAACTTGATACAGTCTGGTCTCCATGGAGTCAAAAAACATTTATGCATGCATAATGGACTTTTAAAAGAAACTGAGAGAGTTAGTGGTGAAGTATAACTGTGACCTATCATAGTACACCCTCAAATTTTAGAAGGAGAATAAGAGTTTGGGAATATATCTGATTTAGGAGGACATTATTAAACTCTTAAATTTCTTAACTATTATCATTTTAATTGAAAATCTTGGAATCACACTTCTTTTCCCCTTAACTAGAACTTAAATACATGGATATTCTCAATACCTAAGTTAATAAAACAAATAACTTGGTACTTTTGATTTTCATTAAATTCTAGATGAAAATAATATTCTTTAATACAAATCTTAATTGGTTTTTGTGTTATAGCCATCTAAATATGTATGAATATTTAGCAGTAAAAGTCAAGTTGTAATATAATTTAAGAGACATTATTAAGATGTTATAGAATTTTTACTTCAAAGCCTAACATTCCTCTAACTTTCTGAAGAATTAAAGGTCCAAAAATAATCATTCATAATCGTTAATTTTTGAATTATTACCTCTGTATAAAAACTAGATATTCCAGCTTGACATGATGAAAAATTTTCTCCAAATTTTTTCACATAATCTAAAATGAGATACAAACAATTCAGTATTACATCTTAAGATAAAAACATAACCCTCCATAATTTTTTTCTTGGAAATACTTACAAATATGCCTTTTAAATTCTACATTTCATACTACTTCATTAAAACTAATAGTAATTAATATAATTTAAAAATCTCACAATCTTTTATTAATCTTTAAAATATCACCATGAAATGTCAATAAAAACCCATCTCTTGGTGCTTCTTCTTCATGGGAAGAAGATGAAGCATATGATAGAAAATTTGTCAAGCAAGTATCTGAGGCAGAAGTAAGCATTGTAACTGAGCCCACATTCCACTTATAATTTCAAGGTGAGCATTATATTCTGATGTACATACACATACATGGTAAAATGGTTGCTTCATCAAATCAACACATCCATTCCCTCATAGGGACCTTTTGTGTGTGTGACTAAAGCAACCAAAATCCTTCTTCTTGGCAAGTTTCTAGGTCATGCTATGCTATATTAAATATAGTCCTCATGCTGTATATTATAGATCTCTGGATTCACTCACTACTGCAACTTTGTCTTTGTTTCCTAGATTATTCCCAGCTGAAACATTCAAGACCTGTAGGGAGATGGAAGGTGTCTAGCTACAAAGCCCTCGTGAATGAATGCTTTCAGAATTCACAAAAGAGACACAGCTTTGCTTCTTCTGAAGAACTGACATAAGAACCTCTCTCTATGAAAAGAAGGATCAAGGAAACATCTTCTTTTTAGTTTTGATAACAGAAAACTTAAAGAAGCTGCTATGGCACTTATATTACCATTTGCTGCTATGATTTTTATCACTCTTTTCATATCTTACCTGATCCTGTACTCTACAATTTTAGGTAGGGTTTTAGGTTTATACCATCTTGAATTTTTTGGTAAAATGTGGCTAGATATATCTAAGCAAAACTAAAATTCTACTATGAAAATGTTTAAAAGTGTAAATCATAACAGACAACAGAGGGTAGGTAATAAATATACAGATGCTTAGACTGAATTGTATAATAGAGAATATTTCTTTTTTATTTTATTGTGTCCACAGGTAAAATAGAAATATTTATAATATAAACTTCTCCATGACATCAAATTCTAGGAAGGAAAGATCTCAAATAGCATCAGAATCAGTAACTGAAATAAGTACTTGGTGTACTAAGTTTTTCCTGTTAATACCAATTTTCTTTAGATGCTAGGTTTTTGGTTTTGTTTATTCAGTTAGAAAAATTGGAAATTGGCATCCATATTTCTTGGTTTTTCCTGGTATTTCTTGGTTTTGTAAAGATATATTTTTAGAGTTTTAGTTTTGTTGCAAATACCATTTTAAAGAGTCTAATGCTTGACCGACTGAACTAGCCAGGTACCTACAGATACCATTTTAAATGGTCTGTTGACATTTGCCCCTCACTTTGTTTTCCACAGTTGTTATATTCTAGTTCTGTATGTAAAATACCTATAAGATAGAAATCCCACAGGAATCCTGCTATTCAAGGAATACATATGAACTGGAGGGGAAAAAAGAAATGGTGAACAAGAAGGAAATGCTTACACTTATGCTTTGGATCCTTTTGATTACTGCTGGAAGCTTGAGGTAAAGCAAGAAACTACTCTTTTTTTTCCAACCAGATTTTTAAAATGCAATTTTATAATTTAAAGTATTCAATATTTGCTGGGCATCATACTCACTTATAATGAATTAAAAATAAATTTAGTGCAAAAGTGGGTAATTACAAACTAGCTTCCATCATTTCTCAAATTGAAATGTAGAATTTCTTTTTCTAAAATCAAGAAGTGCAATTGTGAAGACTAATGCTACCTTTTATTGGATAAAGTAAAGGAATACTTTGAACAGTTTAAAATACAACAAATAATTCAAAGACTTCCATCTTCCTTGCTAAACTTCCAAATCTGAAAATTTTTTTTAAAAAGTTGCTCACTTATTTCTCTTGATCTAGTTGATATCAAAATTATGCCTTACCTTGGTAACATGGAGCCATTCTCTTACTCAGTTCTGCTCGTAAATTAGAAGGCATTCCATAGCAAATACCAGTAGGGAGCTTATTTTCATTCCTGATGTAAAATACATTTTTCCATCTATGCCCACAAGCCTGATAAAATAAAAGTAGAACAAATTATGTGAAAAATTGCATCCATGATATCTGATTTTAGAATTGATCAGTGGGCCAATTTCAATACCTACCACAATGGATCCATTCTCTCCTGGTTGTCTGGAAAGTGTGACACCCAACCACTGATTATCTCTCTCTTCCAAACAAGTCCTTCCACAAGGTTCTCCATGAGGGCTACCTAGAGCATTTGAACAGGAGTTTTTCCATTAGTTATCTTGAAAACAATGTTATTGTACAAGAGCAGAGACGATAAATGTAGACACTCATCCCCAGTGTTTTCCCTTCAACTGCTTCTCTCCTCTTAAAATCAGTGCATAGTTTGGGGGTAAATGTGAGTCAACTCTGTGCTAACATATTATTCTCTCAAGCAAGAGAACAATACCTCTTCTCTCATACAAGAAGGAATTGTAAAAATTACCTCCAATTGGGAGTAGGGACAGGAAAGTGGAGAAAATGAAAAAGGAACTTAACAAAATCATGCTACGTTTATATATAAACATACTATAGTGAATTCCATATTTATGTAAACATATGAAGCACTAATCAAAAAATAAACACATAAGTGAAAAGACAAGAAAAAGAAATGACCTCCAATTGATAGAGAAACAGCCTCAGTGATATGGGTTGTGGGGAAGCCCACTTAAAAACCAGCATAGTTACCACAAACACAACTGCAGTGTTTGATACCTGGAAAAGACTTTGCGTTTTAGTTTTAGTTTTAATCATTTATCTAGTGAAATAAGCAACATTACCAGAGCACTTTGTAAAATGTTTCCTGTATGGTCCTCAGTAATTAAGACACAGTTTATTGAATCCGGAAAGTGATGACTGAGCATGCACAAAGTGGAACATACAATTAGCATACTAATAATGCATAGCAATTTAAAACAAACTGCTCTATGTTTCACATTTAGTGGAATGTGACTCATGTTTTCAATAAAGATAAAAAGACTTAGGAAGCTAGATTATTTTAAGTATAAAAAAAAAAGCTTCCCAAGTCTTCCCAAGTCATCATTTAGGCAAATTCATAAATAGCTAGGGGCTCAAATCTAGATAAAATATGCATGTGCTGCTTCCTACTCCTAAACCATAAATAAAAAGTGATCTTCTTTTTTAGTGATAATCTTTTTTCATTTATTTGCATGACTTCATTCGTAGCTGGATCCTATTAGAACTTTTATTAAACTGATTCTAAAAAAGTAATTTGAGGGAAGAATAAGATACAGTATTTTCTCCCTGCTTTCCTTTCCTCCCCACTCCTCTCTCCTATCTTCCTTCTGTTCCTAATTTTAACACAGAACCTTCTTTGTCCACCTGAACCAGATTTTTTTTTTTTTTTTTTTACTTAATTGCATCTCTCCTAGTTGACTCTTGACAATTTTATTTCATCTGTGCTCATTTCCGATGGCAGGTAAATACATTAGGATAAATTTGAATACAGATGTGGGACTTGTGTTTGTTTACTTAATTTTAAATACTGTTACCAGGTACCAAGTTTTACACATCTATAGTGAAACTCTTTATATCCTTCTCTATATCATTAAATGTTTTCTCTAACCTTTATTACCTTGACCCTTACCTACAACATCCAGGGCACACTTGGAATATCTACATAGATAAGGCTGATATTTTGGAAGAGAAACAATGTGCACTAAATCTCCTGAGTAGGAGAGATTTTGCAAGGGAAGCAATGGGAAGATATTTACGAGTACACTTGTGTGCCTCCAAAACATAATTCAGGAGAAATGCTATCCTTAAGCACAGCTGAACTGAAGAAAGATTCCCAGCCACTCCGCCAGAGAGTCTGAGTCAGGGGTTCAGGTGAAGGCCTGGCTGCCCCAGGTGTTGTGATGGTCAGGAACACTGTTAGAAGGGAATGTGGATCATGGTTTTCTGGCTAGGTTTCCTGGAGAATAATGACAACTCCCACTCGTTGTTAATGGTTTCTAGTGGGGATTAAATGGAATGGAGACTAAGGACAGGCCTGGAAAAAGAACCCTGGGCTACCTAGCAATGTCTGCTTCTAGCACAGGAAGGAAGTCAAGCCTTCATAAAGCACAGGGTCCAGGAGGACACCGGTTTCTGTGGTCAATATAGGAACCAAAGGAAGGTAGGAAGGAAAGCAAGAGAGAGGTGAAGAGTGGGGAAGAGGGAAGTAGGGAGGAAAAAAAGAGAATGTTGAGTGGGTAAGGTTTAACATAGGGGGTTATTAGGTCCACTTGACGCCAAACCAATAAAACCCAACTGAAAAAAGTTGGCAAAAAGAAATTTTAGTTTTCATCGTGATGCAGTTTTCAGCTTGACTTTTCACTAAAATCACCAGTTTTTATTTTTACTACTATCAAAGACATATAATCAATAGACAAGTAATTTGAGGAAAGAATAAGATTCATTAATTTTCTCCCTGCTTCCCTTTCCTCCCCCCTTCTCTCCCCCACCTGCCTTCTTTTCCTAATTTTAACAAAGAACCCTCTATGTCCACCTGAACCAGATTTTTTTTACTTAATTGCATCCCTCTTAGTTGACTCTTGACAATTTCATTTCATCTGTGCTCAATTCCATCTACCTGAGGTTGAAGTTCCTGTTATTTAACACAATAAGCATAGCCATGAATACCTCTCAGAAAATATCAATCATTTCTAAAATCAGAGTCAACAGAGTTAATTTTCTTCCTGCTAATTTGTCTTTGTTAAGGAATGGGAAGGATGGAGGTCACAAATATTGTACATTTAATTGTTATGGGCCAGGCTATAATGGGCAATGACCAAACAGACTCCATTTTACCCTGAGACTCCACTTCATGTAAGAAATACTTCTCCCATGAGAACTCCCTGCCTCTGTACCCATCAATAATTGCATAGCATAGCATGCCTGGCAACACAAAATGGCAATTCTTATACAATGTAAAATTGTTCTCTTTTTAGTTCCCTTTACTTTAAATTTTTAATCTTAATTTATGAGTTTATATGTCAATTTTGGTACCAAACACAGTGTACATACATACACAAAACAAAGACATCCGTAGCGTATTTTTCAAAACCTATTAGATGGAAAGCTAATCCTTGTAAATTGGCCTGTGAATGAATCAAGAGTATAAAAGAAACCTTCATAGTTGGATAAAATAGGTCTGATCAGAAAAAAAAAAAACATTAATCTAGGTGTGGCAGATTAAAATTATGAACTTAAAAAATATAGACTTTAAAAGCCTTCCTGGTCTCCATCCTGATGTGGTCCCTTCTCATCCAAGGTGAAAAAAGTTAAGTGACAAAGGCCAGTGCCCTATCCCTCCCTGAAGGAATTTCTGAAGAGGCAGCAAGGGAGTCTGCTTTCATTAGTCTCCTAAGGAGAACCCCCTCAGGTTGGAGTCCTGTTCTTAACCGGTTTCTCTGGTCTCTTGGATGGTGGCCACCAAAATCTTAGCCTGGCATTTTGAAAAACATTTATCAGCTAGACTGACAACAGCTAAAAAACTTTGGAGTCACCTCCAGTAGTTGGAAGTTATTCTTTAAACCCCTTTAATTTTTGGAGTTTTCTGAGAATATCTGGGGCTGATGGAGAGACAAAAGCCAAATTTCCTAGACAAAATGATGCTTTTACATATCTTAGAAATGATGATCCTATAAAACTCTAATTCTAATCTGCCCTCTATAGGAACTGATATTGTCTACTCTGCTGGCCATCTGGCCCAGTTCCTAAATGAAGGCAAACTGTAAAATGCTTTTTTTTACCTTTAGCTTTTACTTTGGACACCTATTGACAGCCATTTACATTTCAATGCAAGCTTTCCAGAGCACAATTAAAACCTTTTAAACCATTTTTTTCCAGGTTGGTTTGGATTAGGTTTAAGGCTAACAATTAGGGCTGGGGTTGTAGATCAGTGGTAGAGCACTCACCCAACACCTGGGAGGTCCTGGGTTTGATCCTTAGAACTACATAAAAATAAATAAATAAAATAAAGGTACTGTGTCCAATTAAAACTAAAAAAAAAATGAATATTAAAAAATTTTAAAAAAGAAATAAAAGGAAGGTGAGAGACAAGAATTTAACAAGGCTCCGAGTTTGACTCAAGTCTGAAGGTGGTGGCAAGTCACTGATGGGTCAGGTCTGTAAAAATAAAAGGAAAGTGTCTCTCTAGGGCAAACAGTTAAAATAATCTTAGAAACAAACTGAAAGCAAACTGAGGTAGAAACTAACACAAAACAAAAAGGGGATAAACAAAAACAACAACCAAGACAAGTCAAAAATACAGGACAGACATTCTCTCCTTCTTCTACTGGACCCCAATCTTCAGACTGCCCTCACAGTCTACTTAGCAGAGTTCTCTGGGCCTTGACTAAGACCTCTTCAGGCTCAAGGTCACCTTGGGCATTACAGTCAAGCACTTGATACAGTCAAGTGGATTGATACACCCCCAAGCAGAGCCCCTGATAATCAGGTGCTCAGAACCTCTACGCAATTACAATAAAGTCAAAGGGAAAGAAGAAATGAGATAGTTCCCAACCCATGCAATTCCATCCTCCTTCAAAGCCTCTGGATTTACAGAGGTGGACCACACCAGCGCTTTCATGGGCAGTCTCAAATCAGTCACCACAGGAGATCCAGACCCTCACAAAGCAGAGAGTTCTCACAGCTAGAGAGGTTGGAAGCTCTCTGTCTGCTTCAGAGGATTTAGGACTCAGGTGTGCCTGAGAGCCACAGCCTTGACTGAGGTTATCATTTCCCTAGGGCCTCCAAAATGTTAAGGCGAGGTTGCAATAAATCACTGAATTGATCTTACAGCAGGAGACTGAACCTTTATTCACCAGCCAGTGGTCTGGATCCACTAGCTGGCGCGTCAAGAGTCAGGCTGCAAGTCTACACACTTCAACCCCCTCCTGGGGTTTGAGTACACCTTTTATAGTCCAAAATCATAGTATTCATAAATGGCTGTTGCTATGATTCAAAACCATAAACAAATGTCATGACATCTAAAATCCTAAGCAGAAGGGGGAGTGGGTCAAAATGTCCCTAGTTGAGTACAAGTTAAAGAATGATTACTAACGTCTAGACAATCTCTGATAGGGTACATTGTCCAAGAAAAATGGGAACCAAAGAGAGAACACTTTTACATTGTATAAGTGTTCTTTTCATTTTGTGTTGCCAAACATGCTATGCTAAGCAACTGTTGATGGGTACAGA